ACAGCATTGCCCTATAGAGGAAAACAACTAAACACTTACGTTTGCCAGGTTTACAAGGATCTAGATCCAGGTTTAGATTCTGGATCTAGAACTGTGGAAGGTAAAATTCAATTTTATACGTACAAAAATGTGCATCAGAGCCCTTCCAAAAAATACAACTTTGCCCAGAAACAAAGTGACAGAGCCACTTTCTCTATTCAAATCTAGCTGTCCAGACTTTAATTTCACTTCCATACTAAAAGGAGAAGCATAAATCCGCATGCAATGCCACATGAAACTACTGGGAAGAACATTTAAAGTTTTGAAATATGCAGATGATCTCAAGATTTATTGTTCCTTAGCATCCATTCAAAGAAATAACTGGTACCCTTGGACACTCGTTAAGTTTAATACTAGGGAGAATAAGACTGAGGCAGAGGTGGTATTTAGCAGGTTCTGATCAGTTCTGGAGAACTGGTAGCGGAAATTTTGAGTAGTTAGAACCGGCAAATACCACTTCTGCCCCGCCCCCATCTATTCTCTGCCTCCCAAGTCCCAGCTGATTGGCTGGGTCTTCTTTTGTTACCCTGCACAGGAGAACGGAGCTGGAAAGCAGGTTAGTGGGATGGGGAGGGAATGGGGATTTTGTAGTATTCTTCCCCTGGAGCGGGGTGGAAATCGAGATTTTACAATATCCTTCCCCTGCCATGTACACCAAGCCACACCACACCCATCAAGCCACACCCACAGAACCAGTAGTAAAAAAAATTGAATCCCACCACTGGACTGAGGTTCTACTAATAGGGATCTGGACTTGGGGCAGAGGTTCAGTCTTATATGGATGGGATTGTTCTTCCCCTGAAATCATAGTCCCACTGTCTGGGGGGGTGACAGTGGACACCCTGGTTTTAAATCACTGGATTTGAAAATAGTACCTGTTGCAGTGAGTGTACTGCATAAAGATGGCTACTAAGCAGCTGAGATTCTTTCTGAGTTACTTAGATTTGGCAAGTTAGTGATGTTTAATTGTTGGGTTCCTACCTCACTAAGATAACTTTGCGTGGTTAATACAGGTTAGAACCACAATATAAAAATAAATATTATGACAAACTAAAAATAAACCAAAGTGGCTGCTGGAAAAAAAACATATATCAACAATCCCAAAGGTGTTTTTCAAAAGGCAACTGGGTTTGCTTAGTTTTTTTCTTGAAAACGTTTCACTTCTCATCCAAGAAGCTTCTTCAGTTCTGAAGCTTCTTGGATGAGAAGCAAAAACTTTTCAAGAAAAGACTAAGAAAGCCCAGTTGCCTTTTGAAAAGCACCTTTGGGACAGTCATGGCCTGGATAATTGAGAATCTCCACAGACATATACCATGCTCAAGGAAGCAGCCAGATCCTCAACTCTTTTAAAAAAGTAAATAGGATCAGAGCCATTCCCACCTCCAACGCGTTGTGGGGCTTCAGAGAATAGATAAAGCTATGGAAAAGGCACATTTCCTGAGTTCCATCAGATTATCTGGATCCACAACCTGCCTGAACAAATGGATCAGAGAAAAACAATGGAAGCAAGTTAATTCCTCAAATATCTCCCCATCCCAATGCCAGGAAGGACTTTAAAGGTAACAACCAGTACCGTACATTGCTGTGAAAGCAAATTGGGAACCAGTGTAGCTCACTGAGCATATGAAGTCCATGTTATAATCTATGCAATGGCTGTCTCAAGGATGCTTTTCTTCTTCAAAAGGCAACTGGACTGTTTTTTTCCCCTTGAGGACGAAAACGTTTAACTTCTCATCCAAGAAGCTTCATTGGTTCTTATGGTGGTGGAGGGGATGGAAGAATAGGTTCTGATAAGGTGGGGGGGGGATGGAAGAATTGTATTTCTTTGCAGTCATATGGTTGCTAGCACTCTCGGAGAGCTGTTGAGGCCACTTGGGGGTTTATCTAAGCCCTCAGGGTCACCTGAATCAGAGTACAATTGGTTGTGAAATCTTGGAACAGTTGCAAGGGCTGCATTGCAAACTGGAGATCCTTGTAGGTGGTGTCTTATTCCTCCCTTTCTGTTGAGGGAGAGGTGTTTAATTTTAACCCAGATGGATTCTTTTACCCCTCTTTCAAACCAATGGTCCTCTCTATCCAAAATATGGTTGTAACTATACAACTGACTTGATTATTACAATGCAATGCATTCCTCACAGGATTTCTTTTGAAAAGTTTCTGGAAGTTACAATTCATGATAAACTCAAATCTATTAATTGCTACAAGGTATAGGGGTCATGCTTTTCTTGGACTGAAAGATCTGTTCTGGATGTCAGTTGCTTAGTAGACAAAATTTAACATTAAAGCCTTTAATAGCTTAGGTCATGGCTCTAAGAGGACTGTCAGAGGTTTTTTTTATCTGCCACATAGAGATTAGCATTTCCCTGCATACTCCCAAGCTATGGAATGAATTAGCAGAAAACTGCATATGATTCCCCTAATCTTGATATCTCAAAAATCTGCAAAGCTGCATCTCCTACACCATGCTTTTAAGTATTATTGTTAATTGATGTTATGTTTTAAATGTTTGCATAAGTGTGCTTTTAAAATTTTTGGAGCATACATTTCAGCAAAAAGCTGAATTAAACAGGAATAAATTAAACGTGCCAGTAAATATCATCTGTGCTGAAAAACTGTGTTCAGAAGCCATAATCTACCAACGATGGGCTGGCTGAGTGAGAAAAGATTTGAAGTGAAATTTCTGGAGAGCACCAGATTATTTAATAGCTTTCCTTTTATAAATACAGTAATAGGGGTATTTGTTTTGGCTTTACATATAGTAAAGGAAATGCAATGCTGATATTTTGGATTTCAACCAACTACTACTTGGGAAATTCTGCAAGCTTTTGTGAACTATGGTTTAATTTAGTCTTCACTATGGAAGTTTTATGTTTGACCTAGCACTACTTTTAGAGAGATTGTCTTGGTTGTATCATCCAATAACATCCATCTCAGATGCCCCGATAGCAAATAAAAATAAGAGGAAATGTATAACCACTAAAGAAGAAAGAAAAAGTCTCAAAGAAATTTCACATCACAGAGCAATACAACTATAATTAAGCATAATTTATTGCTTAGGGTAAGAGATTACATTAACACCCAACAACTTATGAACATACAAAATATCTGCATAACAGGGATAACATTGATTTACTTGGCTTAGCATGGATCTCAAGGCCCCTGCCAGATGATACTTTCTAATTTCATAAATGGACTATAATTTTCTATCTGCTCAATAATATCAGACAGAAGTGCCAAAAGGTTTGGATAAGTAAAACAGCTAACAGCTTTTAACAATAGAAGACTAGGTGCAGAACTCTTATCTGTAAATGGACTATTATTGATGTTTATTATTAAGTATACCACTTTTTGTTTAGGTTATATAGATAGGTTTGCCCCACTCCCCCAATCCCTCTAAATTCTCATTAGATGAGAAGCAAGCTATCTGCCAGACTGAATTCACTTTCCAGACAATGTCCTTGAGTCTAACTCAGATAAGAATGTTAAACTTGCCTTTTGCATGTTGTGGCTATCACAATGTTAAAATATGGGTGTCCCCAGCAAGACAGAGCAGTGCTTTCTTTTGTTATCTTCTTTTAAGAAGGCAACTCTAAGAAGATTAACATGGCATATTCATAATTATGAAGGAAGGTTCTTATGATCAAAAGAAGAAAAGTGTGCAAGCAGCCACCCACAAGCTTCTCAAGGCCACTCCATCTTCCTTTTCTGAACACCTGCTCAACAGCTTGAGTCGAAGATGCTTCTTTGTAGCATTAAAATTTTCCTATCAGGTGACAATGAATTTGGGGGAAGAAATTATCTTTGTGAAAGTATCTTACATAAGAAAGGAATCCTAATTAAGTTGCTAACAGTTAGAAAATATGATATAAGCTAAAAAAAAGTAACACTTTTTATTAGCTTTTCCTAATCTGACATCCGTCAGTTATGCTAAATTACAGCCAGCACAGTCATAATTGAAGATGATGAGAAATTGAATCCAGATTGTCAAAAAGAAGTAAAAATAAATATCTCAGAGGATTTTAAAGAGGACAAATTCCCTAAATCCTCTATGATTTTTGCTCTCAGATCTTCCCAGTATCTGAACTAGAATGTTTTGTAGAACACCAAGCTACCCCAATTTTTAAGAATCCATATTAGCCATTCAAGCAACTAACAAAGGTGTTCTAAAAGTTTTGTTAACTAATTAATTAAATTAAATAATTAAAGATGACTTATTTATGCCTGAAATACAGAATACACCAATTCTCCTCTAAATTGAACAGGTAACTGAGCATATGTGATAACTATCAAATTCAAACCAAACTCCTCCCCATTTTTCACTTCAGTGCTCCTATTACTTATTAACAGACTCATTTGTTGCCTTTTGGTATTTGTTGTCCTTTGATGGATTCTATCTTTTTACCAAATAGTTCCAACACAACATCTTAGCAAGACATCCTATTACCGTACTTTACTTGTTTTGCTGCAATTCCCACATGCCAAGTGTGTTGCATGACTATTGCTGATTCTTAAGCAAGACTTCCAGTATCCCTCACATGGATAAGAACTGGACCAAATTAAGCTACGATCATAAATATCAAGAACCTATTGAATGCTGAAACTACCATCTAAATTAGTCATTTGAGGGGAGACTTCTCTTTTTGCACTAAAACACCAACCTGGGAATTTAGGTGACTCTGAAGTGAATCAGTATTTATCTAATAAAAACTAATAAAACAATCCATGCATTAAAACTCTAAAGAGGAGGAATTCAAGCCTTAGTATTGAGTCAGCGGCTGCATAGCTCACCCACAACATTACACAACAACCATATGTAAATAAGCTGTTTTTTTTTTTGTGTTTTTTTTTTGAAGAATGGGACCAAGGATGGAACAACAAATAGAAATACATATATATTCAGGTGCAGAAAAAATACTTTTTAAAGCTAGATAATAATAGTAGCGTAGCTCACTGTATCTTACCTAATACTGCCATGACGGTCTTCATAAGTTTCATCGGAGTTTTCCTGCGGCTGATGGATCCACTAGTATGCGGAGACAAAACATTTGTTTTTCTCTGGACATACATGTAGATTCTTATGTATACAACAACCATGATGAAGAAAACTCCCAGATTGGAGACTGTCCAAAATATCAAATAACTCCTGCTATAAATAGGAGCTAGAGAAGAGCAGGTGGAAATGTCGCACAGGCAGTTCCAGCCTAATGTGGGCACCGCGCCCATGAAAATCGCGATGGCCCAGATCAACAGAATAAAAAATGTGACCCTCTTCTTTGTGAGATTGCTGTGAACCCTCATCTTCACAATAGATATGTGCCGCTCAACAGCAATTACCAGTAAGTTGGCCAGAGAAGCTGTCAAACTTGTGTCCAAAAGTCCCTGGCGCAAAAACCACCTATTTACACTTAATGTTCTTGACACTGGGCCAGTGTTGAACATCAAAAATACATAAGCGATACCTGCAAAAAAATCTGCAGCAGCGAGGTTGGCTAGCAAATAATAAAAGGGGTAGTGGAACTTCTTGTTTTTTACTACAGCAGCTATGACCAATGAGTTTGAAAGGAAAATAAAGAAACAAAAAAAAGTGCCGAAGCATAAAACTATTACAAGAGTAGTTCCTGACCACTCATCGGCCGTATCAGTGTTACTCCTGTTATAAAAGAAGTCCATGCGTTTATCATAGTGGCATTCATTCATCCTGGACTTGAGAATTGCATTCTAGAGGGGGGAGGAAAGATAAGAAAAAAATGTAATTAGAATGAAGTTTTGCTTCCTTATGCTTTTACACTTTCTGCAATTATTACATTTTTGCTCAAAAATGATACTTGTGTTAATACCATTAAATCAAAATTTCTAAAGACTATATATTGCCCAAAATATACCTCTGTGTACATGTAACATAAGCTACCTACAGAACTGGGATATTTTCTTTCACTTTCTGAATTTTTCATACAGGAATAAAATATTTTGATATCTTAATAATATATGATACAGGATGATGTAGGAAATATACTTTGAGAATACATGATAATACACATAAATATTCCTTATTCAATATCTTCACAAACATGTACCATTAAATGAATTTAAGCACCCATGGTGTTTACTGAAACCTTTTAAACACC